GTATCCAAGCTCGGATCGGCTTCCCTCCAGCAGAAACTGCAACACCCTGAGGCCTCAACAGTAGCAGTTGCCTTTGCCTGGCTCGACGTTCTCGGCTGCGAACCCTGTTGAATCCAAAAGAGGGCATTATGGGGGACTGCATGTTTATACCATATGCTTCCGTCTGATTCCATGGACATTGTTGCCTCAACCCATAAACAACAAAACCAGAACAGAGCAAAGAAAAACGGTACAAAGTCGACGCCCAAGGTAAGGTAACCCCGCTTTCTACCTCCAAATCCCAGCAGGAAACTCTTCAGAACTTCTAAAAAACAAGGATTTAGGGGGTCTGCCACCAGAAATTCCGGGTGGGTATAGAAGAAAAACCTTGGAGCCTTGACCTGCGATGATCACACAAACAAACGATGTGTGAGTTGCTTCCAAAAAAATGCTTGACCATTTCATGTACGGGGTTACCCCTTTGAACAGAACCTCGAGGATCTGGCAACTTCTGCCCCTCCGCGGAAATGTACACTCAAAACCCATGGCACCTTCTGTACTCACTTGATGTCTAAATGTGGCATCTTGAATCTTGATGTGTAAAGACACACATGCTTATCATGCTTGACATTGAGACACTGTGAGGAGTTGGTAGGAGTTGGTACGCGTCCAAATAAACTCTATAGCAGAAACACCTTGGAACGACGGCCTTGATCGGATCACCGTGCGCCCTGCAGCGCCTCTTGGTTTGCCTCGCACCGCTGGTCGATGCGCCTCATCGCCTCGGCCCGAGTTGAGTCGAGTCCCTTCGCGGCCGGCGTGCGCCCGTGCCGGGCGTCCGGCGTCCTCGCACTGATGGCCCGACTCCGCGGGGTCAAGGCCGATGTGGAGGATGACGTCGTTCTCCTGCACCGCCTCGGCCAGCGCCTCAGGAGCGAAAGCGCCGCTAGGAGCGAAGGCAGGGCGTCGAGTTGGCACCTATGGGAGTGACCCGGCCTTGGCACCGACCTCACCGATGTCATTCCATCTAAGGTAGATGTGGATGATGCTGCGGTTGTGCTTCAGCACCTCCGCCAACGCCTGGCATCGGAGCAACATCGGAGCAAAACAAACAGCCCATCACAAATGGATCAAAAAGGGATCCTGGGCCGGCGTCCATTGCTGCTCTGGATTTTGAGATGTTTGGGGTACAAATGCTGAAAGTTCTGATCTTCCACCCTGCTACAAAGCGGACCCTCCCACTCTTTCACATCGAGGATGTTGTCCATGCGATAGTAAATGCCGTGACCAAATGACCCAACACCAAAACACAACAGCTAACACACATCTATTAATGCCTGATGGTTTCGGAATTAAAACCAGCACTCACTCACAATCCCGTGCAGGGCCTCCACTCCTGAATCTCCGATTTTATTGTAATCAAGGTTGATCCTTGTGATCCTGTTGTTGTGCATCAGCATTTCGGCAATCGCCTGGCACCGATGTCGGTTCCGACAGCACTGGACCGGTCACCACAGGGGGCCGGTCTAACACGGACGTCCGTGGCCTTCACACCGGTGTCGGTGATCTCTGCTTGTGCAAGGTAGATGCTGGAGACGCTGCGGTTCACCTTCAGGGTTTCAACCAGCACCTGGCACGTCATTGGCCCCACTCTCCGCCACTCCGCCCTCCACGGTTTCCAGTTTCCATCAGTCCCGACCAACGTCCCTGGCCTTGACTTCGTCATCGCCAAATGTCTCGTCATCACCAAGTGTTTCGTCACTACCATCAAAAAAGATTTCGTTCATGGCGCCGCCTTTCTTTAATTGACGCGCCAACTCCTCTGGCTGCACAAGCCCGATCCCGGGTGGATGGCTGGCCGGCGTGATGGCGATCCCACAGTCAGGGAGTGCGGGCCATGGAGTTTTCAGGATTCGGATGGACTTGTGTTTCATAGTGTTTCTGGAATAGTACTGCATCAAGATGACATATGCATAACTCAAGTTTCCAGATCGAATCAGAGTTTGGCTCACAGCGCTTCACAACAACAGTTCTTTAAAAATACTTCACTTCGAGTAATGCCCACCATGACATTTCAAGCTGACAAGTTTTCTGGCATGAATTGAAACATTTGTTCGGCCTGCTGCTTCTCAGATGTAACTGTTACTCTTGCAAGACAGCGGCGTGCCGCCTGTCAGGTGTCTGGTCCGGTAAGTGTACAGGACACACAACAAAAACATTTTCTTTGACATATACTGTGGCAATCTATCCGGCATATATTCCAAACTTTTACTTGGTTGTGTGTTGTGGTTGTGCGTTGTGGCTGTGTGCTGTGGATGTGTCTTTGTGGTTGTGTGTTGTGCTTGTGCTGTGGATGTGTCTTTGTGGCTGTGCGTTTTGATTGTGTCTATGGAGTTGTCTTTGTAGCTGTGTTTGTGGTTATGTGTTTGTTGTTGTGTGTTTGTGGTTGTGTGCTGTGGTTGTGCATTGTCTGTGGTTGTATGTTGTAGATGCGTCGTTGTGGATCAAACAGTGGATCAAACAAACATGTACACCCCGGTCAACAATCTCATAGAAAACCGTTGCGCACAAGAGCGCGCTCCGCCAGAGCGCTCTGTAGCTTCTCTGACGGGCCTCGTGACCCTTGACCTTTACTACCTGTACCTTTGCGGCTCTATCCCCTCAATTGCTGACAGAAGCGAACTGACCGAAACGACACCACAGCAAAAGCAATGCGTCCACATGTTCCAAGCTGTGCGCTCCGCTGCCGGGGCGCGCGTCTGTGTAAGGCAACACGCTCAATGCAGAAGGTGAGGGTATGAACAAAAGAAAGGTTGCTTCAGTTACAAACATGCGCTATCTCAACTCATGCGGTGGGCCAGCGCGCTCCGGCAGAGGAGCGCGAATGAATCCACTGGTCGCAGGTCACTCAAACATTCTCCAGCCATATATTCCATGTCATTTTCTGTCTTTGTAGTTGTGTTTGTGGTTATTTGTGGTTATGTTTTTGTGGTTGTGCGTTGTGGTTGTGCGTTGTGGTTGTGTGTTGTGGATGTGTCTTTGCGGTTGTGCGTTTGTGCTTGGGTACTTGTAGTTGCATTTGTGGTTATGTACTTGTGGTTGTGTGTTGTGGTCGTGTATTAGGAACATGTATTTGTGGTTGTGTGTTTGTGATTGTGTCTTTGTAGTTGTGTTTGTGGATGTGTTTGTGGTTATGTGTTTATGGTTGTGTGTTTGTGGTTGTGTGCTGTGGTTGTGGGGTGTGGTTGTGTGCTCTGGATGTGTCTTTGTGGTGGTGTGTTGCGGATATATCCTTGTGGTGGTGTGTTTGTGGTTCTGTCTTTGTAGTTGTGTTTGTGGTTGTGTGTTGTGGTTGTGTGTTGTGGTTGTGTGTGTTGTGGTTGTGTCCTGTGGATGTGTCTTTGTGGTTGTGTGTTGTGGTTGAGGTCCGGCGGGGGACACTGCTGTCCGATACTCGCGTTTGAGGAGGTGAGGAGGCGAGGAGGAGACTGACAGGTGGGGAATGGTGGGGAAACCCAAAAAAATCTGCAGTGTCCTGGATGCGCGGATGTCCACAAAATGCGTCTGCACGGTCTCCCGCATCCTGCTCTTGTTTTGCGGGCGTGGTCGCAGGAGCCTGCGACAGGTGTTCTGACGGTGCAAAAGCCAGTCTTTTGCCGGCCACTAGTTGCAGCAGTAATAGCTCTGAATACCTTCAAAGAGCACAACGCACCCGGCAGCCTCTGCTGCTCCTCGATTCACTTGGAGCAGATCCTCAATTTCGTGCAGAGCCTCGTGCAACTTTGCTGTTAAAGACAAGGTGTAACAAAACCGGGCTGTTTCGTGCCAGGCCTGCTTTCCCACAACAGTATTACATTCATTTCCGTTCAGGTCGAGGTGAGTCAGCACATTGTTGACTGACAAAGCGTTTGCGAGTGCCTGGCGGGTGTGGGGTGGTTCCCCTCCCAGTGCCAAAAACATTCCTCCATCATGAATGTTTCCTTTGTCCTCTCTGTTTGAGTTTTTTGTGTAAATCTCAATCTTTTATGATATATATATATATATACAGTAATATATACTTGGATATACTTGGTGAAATCATCTGCACTCAACTGGGGGGAACCCCCGAGCTTCCAAATCCCACTCTGTGATGCTATTGCTTTGGCTAACTCTGCATTCGACAAATATCCAATGGAGAAAGGTTTGGAAAATACCAGCCTGCACACCCACGTCTGTGACCTTATTCCAACTCAGGTCGAT